GGTGAATATTGTCGAATAATCCCCTCGACTTCATCTCGGGGATTATTCGACGATATTCACCTCGCCTTTGGCGAATAATTGTTAAGTATAACAATGTTTTTCTACTCAATAAAGTTACATATGGACTTTAATACAGGTCTGTTTCATAGACCGACAAGACATGTGTATGTATATATATAGAAGTAGTAAAATCAACAACGAAACAAAGTTTCCGTGACTCATAGTTTCATGCTTTTGCAATCATCAGACGGTGGTAATTCCAATGGAAGACATACCTTATATACAGAATGCTAATTATGCGGTGTGAAACATAATTCCTATAATTAGGCAGTGTGAAACTTAGTTCCTATAATTAGTGACACCTAATTCTACTGAAAGTGAATAAAAGCTAAGTTTTAAAGTTCGATAGGTAGAATTTGTTGTCGTGGTGGCATTTGGAAACTAGTTCAGATCTCGTATTGAGTAAAGTGTTTTTGTCGGCTTGGAGAATGCGGACAGCCAAATGGACAAACAACCTATTTGCTTCACTGGTCAATTTTCTGCCATGCTCCTGCCTACTATAACAAAACTAAGAAATGTGATCTGTGCCTCGCAGAAAAAGTCCGCATTCTTTCAGTAGAATTACGTGTCACTAATTATAGGAACTAAGTTTCACACCACCTAATTATTGGAATCAAGTTTCACACTGCATAATTAGCATTCTGTATATGAGGTATGTCTTCCATTGGAATAACCACCGTCTGATGATTGCAAAAGCATAAAACTACGAGTCACGGAAACTTTGTTTCATTGTTGATTTTACTATTTCTATTTACGCTCTACTGTATGTATTGAGCACTATACAACCAGCTAAAGCATCTCCTCCATATATTTATATATATATATATATAGATAGATATAATATAACTGCAGACAGTACTGTTTCGGCCTTCTGGGCCTCATCAGTGCAGTGCTGATGCTAGGATGGAGGAGAACCGAGACGGTCACCCCAAACGACCCAACGTTTGTGGTGTTGTCTAAGCCATGCCACAGTGCTCAAACTAGGATATATATATATATATATATATATATAACTAACTGCAGACAGTACAGTTTGCGCCTTCTGGGCCTCATCAGTGCAAGATGCTAGGATGGGGGAGAACCATATATATACCTTTTCTTTTCTCATAAAGAAGGTGAGGACAGAATTAATGAAAGGGACAGTTTGTTACACCTTTGCACAATTTTTTCATTTAAATGCTCAATTGTTTGGATGTATAATGTAGATCTAGTTATTAAATTGATATGGGAATATGATTTAACTGTGGTCAAGTGGACAAGTTTTCCAGCTAAATATGTGTATGATTGCATAGATTATGAACCAGTGATCTTTAGTCATTCCTTGCTCTAAATAGTTTAATAGTGAGCAACATAGTGGACAATGCAGTAACCTAGAAATTCCAAAAAGGCTTTGTTGCTTCTATAATAACAAATAAGAAAACAACATTTTAAGAAAAGCTTCATTCATTAGTAAACTCCACCAGATGTATGCACCATTGAACAGTTTTACTTTAAGTTGTACTGTTGTATACCAGGATTGAATAGATTCAACTTTTGTTCTAGATAGCCAATTCTTGGTGAAGTGGTATTTATACCATCAGACCGACTTTTTTTACAGTTATGTTTGTATTTTATGGCTATAATTAAGCAGTTGTATGACACCAAAGGGAGAGCTGAATTTAACTAACAGTTCAAATATAGACAGCACTATTTTTATATTTTTTAAATTCTGATCTTGGCTTGAGATTTCATTTTCTAACAGCTTCTTACACATAAAGCACTAGGTGTTTCAAGGACAAGAAAGCTCACTCATTGTCATTGTTCACATTCCACAGAATGCGTTATTGTTTAGCTTGCTTCTTGTTTTGTGAGCTTGTCAGCATGGACATCATTTGTTATTCAACA